TCTGCCATATTTCTATTTTTATCCTTGTATGTGTATTCATAAGTATGTTGTATTAATTTCTAAAGTTATGGAAATCTATTTGTGTTATATGAGATTTTTGTAGTTACTGTTCAATACATATTTGCGAGATCTATTTATCTTCATACATAAAAGTACAGACAATCCATTTTTAGTGCTGTAACCTATTCCAATGTCTATCATTATTTAGTTATTCTTTTATAGTGTAGGTTTATTAAGATCATGACCAAATTTTTAATCATTACTCTACCGCTAACATTTGTCTCTACTAAGGTTTTCTGTGTTTTGGAAACGTAGGTAAGATTGTTGTCTAAAAGCAAATGTGAAAGTTCTGCAGGTGTGAGATACATATTTGAAAATAGTTTACAAAAGACTACAACAATTTATAATCCCCAAATGAGCTGATCAGAGCTCTTATTTCCGTAGCACCTTCATCAGAATTGAACAGACCCAATCATTTTTAACACAAGCAGTGGACTTTGTGATGAAATTAAGTAGCATGAAAAAGGTCATTTACATGAGGTTGGCTCTAAGCCAACCAGTTGAGTTCCCAGATCTGCATTAAATCTTTATATTGATCATGGAATGCTCTCATATCATGCTCATGTTGCGTGTTTTTTTCTTTCCAGCAAGACCGCATATTAATCTACTAACAATATTTCGTCTCTGCTATTATTAGGAAGTTTCTGTAATTCCTTTGATTGCAACATCTAGTAATAAAAATGCCTTTTATTTAAAAACCCAGCTTATGTTCCACTCTCCTGTTTGGGCATCTGTGATCACCAGCTCTCTGCGCTTTGGGAATTTCCATTTTAGGCTCTAACATGATGTAATCTCTGGAGCCCAAAGACAAGAGTATAACAATCCCAGCTGCCGTTCTGCAGCTCTCATCAAGTGTTCTCATTTTCACTAGGAAATGATGATCAGATTTTTTATCCATAAACTGGGATGTTATTCCCCTGACATATTATTAAGTATACAGAATGAGATCTTTTGCAATAAAGCAGAAATATAGGTTGCCTTGGTTAGATGCCGAGGATTCCCAGCAGAACCCCGAGTTAGAAATTTCAGGGATCTGACCGGGCAACTGTCTCTGCCACTTGGCCTAATCCAGCCAAGACGGGAGGTTATGTGGTGCGTGAAGGCAGCTCCGTTCCGCAGAAGTCATGTAAGGCCTCACACCCCAGGCTTGCTGCTCCCCACCCCAGCCAGCCCTTGTCAGGGTCACAACTTCGAAGCTGTCACGGGTAGGACTGCTACAGAAATCGTCAGTCCCGCCATTCTGCTCTTTCATTCTATTTCCCATCTTTCTCATTTCCTCTGTCTCCCACCCCTGCTGGCTCCTCTCTAGCCTGACGAAACTCACATCTTCTGTTTCTGCCAGTGTCTTCTATCATTATTTCTTGTTTTTATTAGTCCATGTTTATAGTACACACCCATCCCACTTTCTTCTAGATTGTCAATTCCCTTCCTGGGAATTTTAATAATTTTATTGAAAGAACGCTTCATTGCCTTTCTTCCTGTTCAAACTGTGTACTGTTTTCCCTGGGCACCAAGAAACTTGGAGACTCCAATATGCTGTCTGCAGACTGCTAGCCCTCCCGATACCTTGCCTACCTGAGTTCAGAGTATCCTTACTATCTTTCCTCAAAAATAAGCAAACTCGTTCAAGGTCAGCCCCTTCTCCTGTGCTTTGAATCGCAAATCTCTATCCCCTCTTGGGATTTATTCTTTTGTTTTTCTATCCCCCCTCCCATCTTTCTTTCTGAGGGTGCCTTCCTGCACCCTTGACCTCTCAGTTTCTTTGCACCCAGCAACATTTCTCTTTTCTCATCTAAAGAGTATTCTAATCTACAAGCAATATCCACTATTATCCCCACTTGTTTTCCTTTTATACATCTTCATCCCATAATTAGCGCCTGAAATGGCTATCACTAAGGTGATAACAAACTCCTAGTTCCAAAATGGATATTGTCCATCTTTTGTTTTGCAGGGCCCCTGTCCTGTGTGTGACACTCATTCACTTACTTAGCCCTAACACAGGTCTGCTCACTGGACTCCAGAGACCCCTTGAGCTCCTGGGCTCAGTTCCTCCTTGGCCTCTCCTGTTACTCATCCTGTCTCCAGCCTTCAAGGGTTGGTGTTCACTTCTCCTTCCTTTCCCATTTGCCCTAGACAGGTCACCTACATGTGTTTCTACTCCCTCCAAAATGCTGCAGTCCTATCTGGGGCTATTCCCTGCATTTCAGATTCTCCTAGCCAGCTGATTCCTGGGTTTCTCCGCCTGTGTCCACAGGATCTGAGAGCTAACCTCAGTCACGGCTGAATTCTGTACGTGCTCCTGCCTGTCTGCTGGTGGAACCCCTTCCTGCTGTGACCTGTGCGTCTCACCCTTTGCCCCCACACCAAGTCCTACATTTCTGTCTTCTACGTATTTCCTGAATTCAGCTTCTCTTTCTTCCTCATCACCTCTGCCATTGCTAACTCTCCTAACTTTTCTCTTCTTGTTTCTCCTTTGTCTATCAGTTTAGAGTTCTATATCACTGATCTGTTGAAATCTCTTCCTATTAAAAATCTCTTACCAAAGCTCCTTCATCCACACCCTAAAATTCTACCTCCTTAAAAACACACACGTGCACCTGCGGTCTTCGCACAGCCTTGTCCTCCTTTGTAGCCTCATTTCCTGCTGCTCCCTCTGTCTCACACAAACCAAACCAGCAGTCCTTCTCCACACATCAGCTATTTCCCACCCTCCGCTTCCGGCTGGATCCACTCTCCACAGGTCAGCCTGCTCTCCTCTCAACTCCCCAGATCCTCCTTTAGCTCCTCCTCACGACTAAGGCCTTTAGATTCCAGTAATCTATTGCATTTCCTCTCCTCTCTGTATGTTTCCTTGAAACAGTGCGTGGATTTCTTAAGGACGGCGACCTCCTTAGGCCTTGTGACTCCAGTGTGATGCCCCCACTTAAATGATAAGTGCATGCTTAATGCAGAGATGCTGAAGTATGTGAGTGCCCTCACTGGTTCTGACCATTCCTTTCTCCATACGGTGTCCCTGTGTGACAGAAACAGTCAGGTTTCCCAAACATTCCATGAACCCCCTCCATATTTCCCACCCTCCTTGCAGTCAGGCTGACTATTCACGTAACAATTCATGGCGCTCCCAGCACAGATCATCTTTGGGAGTGGTGGTGAGTTCTGCCCTCTCCTCCTTCCCCCTTCTTTGACTCTTCTGGAAGTCTAGGTAAGATGGTCTCACAGGATTGTGTGGTCGGTGCATCACAGGAGTGGGTATAAGCAAGTCATGTCAAGCCACTGAGATTTCAGGATGTGTTTGTTTCCATGACATAACCTGATCTCCGCTGCTTACTATTTTAAACTTATACATTGGTCTCTGTCCTATCATAAGGCTTTGTTACGCTTTCCCAGTATGTAACTCTTTGCTTACACCTGCAGAACGCCCAAGGTTTGGGAAAACTTCACCACCTAAGTGGCGGTTTCCACCTGGCCTGCCTGTGGCCAGCCAGCCCCCTGCTGCGAAGCCTGTGTATTGCAGGCCGTGTTTCCTAAATGTGACTTGACACTTTCTATCCCAGCCTGGCCTAGCACACAAGTGAAACAGTCCATTGCCTGCTCCCTGCAAGTGACACCAGGCAGATTTCCTGCACAGAAAGTCCCCTGAACTTACCCACACATGTCTCTGATTCCACAGCAGAATACCGTGTCTCTAGCTTTAGACTGTTATCCAGGTTGTAAAAGGAATTTCTCCCGGGAATCCTGCTGGGCTCCACTGCTAAATGAATCAGCAACGGTCTGCAAAATAGATCTCTCGGGCCAATTCAGTGATTCAAGGATGTGTGTAACTCCACTGGTCCACAGTTTACAATGTTCTCAGTGTGACTTTGATAAAATTCTGTTCCTTTCCATGGGTATTTTATAACATGCACTGTCTTTCCTCATTAGGTGCCAAATGTCATCGAATTGTATTTATACTGTATTGTTTCAATAAGTAATAATTCTTTCAGAACAGAACATCTGGTTTCAAGTATGACTTCATTCCACGAGGGTATGGTATCACTGGAATCCTCCTTTAGCTCTGGTCTTTGAAACCCACCTCCTCAGAAAGTCTCTCCCCTTTCCCTCACTCCTGAGATTTCTCTGGATTCGAGCTTTCAGTTTCCAATCCAGCAGGAAAGAGCAGAAGTCTTCCGCAGCCACAACCGCAGTCATATTCCCCTTGCTTGTGTGCGTTCAGAATGGGTCATGTTCCCAACTGGGAACTAATTCCTGCAGCCAGGTAAATGCAGTGCCCTTGCTAGTTCAGACCTTAGCTCGTGCCACAGAGCTGCAAAGAGGACTATACATAAAGGAATCACATAGACGAAGGCAGAAGGGAATCGTTTCCAGAGAGAAATTCATAGAGAGGCTGCTCCCAGGAGCAAAGGGGTGCTGTAAGCAATGTACCAAACCTCTACAGAGTTCGTATCTGATGCCCGGGAGCGAGGAGGAGCAGGGCTCCCACTTAGGGAATGAGTGTCTCATTACACAGGGCATGTCACACCTGGATGGAGTCTTTCTTCCCTCATCCACTCTTCTCTGAGTCTATCTGTCCTCCCGTGTGCTGTGGGATGGAGGGATGTAATGCCCTGGCCTCCTTTGGCTTCTTGGTGGGGGAGAAATTTATGGAATAATTAGAGTACAATGAATGATACACAGGATAATTGAAAAGCATTAAGGGAATAGAGTAAGGTAGCTGGATAATAGATATTAATTTGAATTATTGTTGTTTTGATTGATTCCAAATAATTCTGGATTGGCCACCTTGAGGACACCCAGTTTTGTTGGGGGTCTGTTAGGCTTGTCATTTCCAGGAGGACTAACACTGGATTCCCAAATAAAAGCTTGAGATCCAAGAATATATGAACCTAGAATAAGAAAAGCCTAATTTGATTTTATCTTCTTCTCTTCTTTCTCTGTCTCAGCCTGAAGTTCTGGATCAAATACAAAATCTAAGGGAGCTGTGGATGGACAATAACGCATTGCAAGTGCTACCTGGGGTATGTACGGTTGATATGTTTGTTGTCTGACATTCATGCCACAAACTATAGTTGATATTAACTAGTACTAAATCTAAAGTCTCATGGTTTGCATTTCAAAGTAAAGTAACACTTGTTAGCAGTGTTTGATCAACAAATATTTTTCACTAATTTGTTTTGGAACGTTTTATGTATCTTTCATGGCATGTTAAATGTATACAAAATGTATGAAAGATTTTTTTTCATTCTCACATGAATATATTTGTCATCTTTTTTTCACACTCACTATGTGGTAAATGTTGAAAAATTCAGTTACGTTTTTAAAAGAGAAAGGCAATCTAGAGTGGCAAATTTTATTTTACAAAATCGGAAGTGTTCTTGTAGGTAATTGCTCCACAGTTTCTGTTCACATTGTTAGTCCTTCCTCAAAATGGAAATCTCTTTCTCAGTTTAGGCAAAGCCCAGTGAGACCCACTTAAATGTCTGGAAATGGTAGGGATTAAAGAGCATTAGAAACAGACATTGTAAGCCAAAGACAGTGGTACACACCTATAATCCCAGCATTTAAAAAGGCTGATTTAGGAAGATTTCAAAAGGCTGATTTAGGAAGATTTGAGTCTTGCTTGTCTCAAAATGAAAAAAGGGATAAAAGTATAGTTCAGTGCAAAGGTCCTGTGTTCAATTCCCAGTACGTAAAACACACATACACATGCACACAATTATAAAAATTGAACTAGCGAATACTGTTCTCAAGCAAAGGGCAGTGCAATTACATCTTCTGCAGAACAACTGACCTGTTAACTTACAGAGCAGGACTCTGCTGTGCTTTCCATCTAGTCAAAGAATAGTTCTCTGTACAACACTGCTCCTTGCCACTTATAGCTCATGAATTTAAATAAGCATATGCACAGCACATGCGCGTGCACACACACACACACACACACACACACACACACACACAGCAGATACAGGTCTCCCAATCATTGCATCCCCAAACTCCTGTCTTTTGCTAGAGAATCCAAGCAGGTATATGTGTAACAATTCTCCCTCCAACGCAGAGGTTTGAATGTGTCCCCAAAGCCAATTTTGCTCTTCTTTTGAGTTGTCCTAAAATATTTCTTCAAATGATTTTGACAATAACTGGAACAAAAAAGATCTCTCCCTCTTTGACCAAGTGTGAGATCACAGAAAGAAGAAGGAGAACTGGAAGAAGATTAGGGAAAAAATACTCTGTTCTCCTATCAGAAGGAGGTGTTTCTATTATCACAAACAGAGAATAGTCGCACATCCTTGACTTACTGATTTATCCAGAACTCGTTTACTGGTAGACCTCTGTGAACCTGACACTACATCATGTCCAATGACTTGGAATACATGTGTTTGAAGGGTGACACACAGCAATGGAGTCAGATTTGGATTCCCCGGCAGACTCCGATGTAAGCCGTATTGAAAGTATGTTAGCCTTCTCCAGTTAAAGCTTTGCTTTTCAGTTTCTGGTACCTATAGTACAAAATACCAAACAGAAAATTCCAGAAATAAGTAATTTACAGATTTTAAATACCTTTTGCTACAGAATATTGTTGTGATTATTCTGTTTATTACTAGCTATCGCTGTTCATCCTTTACTGATAAATTTTACCATGAGTATTTATGGATAGAATAGAACAGAGTGGGCACAGGGTCCGATAGTAACGGCAGTTCTCAGCATCTGCAGAATGTTGTGGAACTTATCTTCCACGAATAATGGGGTAAATACCAACTGTACAAATTCTGGTGCATTATAGGTAAGATATTTATTGATCCCCTGTGCAGAGACTGAGTCAGAATGTATAGCTCCTTTGAAGTTTGTACCTGCCACTTCAACATGGGTATTTATTCAAAAACACATAGCACCTACTGTGAGCTAAGCACCTCCTAGATGTTCTACAAATACTGACTCATCAAAGCCCCGTAACAACCCTGTAAAGTAGCTTCCGAGTAACCAGTGCAAGGGGCAGAGCTGTGACTCAAACCTGCTCCCGGGGCAGCTTCCTTTGGGGGTGCTTTAATGTGCTGTCTCCATAGAACCCGTAAGAAGGCCAGTGAGAGCGAGGTTCTCACCAGTTGTGCAGATCAGCGCACACCCCCAAGTCCTCAATAAGCTTATTGTACCTCATGTGGCGTTTTATAAATTCTTCATGTATTCTTCAAGCTTTAAATAGACCCCTTGCTTTATTCCGTGTGCTTGAATGTGACATTTTGCTCTGACCTGTGTGGAATACCTCACACCTCTCTGCCATAAATATCCATGGCTTTGTCAGTGTTGGCACTGGAAAACAGTTGTTTTTAAATTACTGGGCAACACTTCCATTTAGACAAGCAGCATGTGGATTTCAATCCAGGTCTGTCAATTTCATGTAATGATTAATCTTAGATATTTAGTATTTTAAGACAAAAAAAGCAAGTTTGCTTTTTTTCTCTGAGTTCATATATCATACGTTAAGTTAATATACTTTTGGAGGCCAGGGCTATTATTCTCTACTCGATTTTTCATAAAGCAGAGAAGTCAAATAGGAAACAGTCAAATATTCCATCCTTGGTGTAGCTCTCTTAGGACCATCTATCTAAGGCTAGTCAAATAAAATATGAGTAAACCACGCATTGCTTTTATATTGGTTTTTAAACAAACTCCAGTATCGTCATCAACTTGTGACTTCCACTCCTTTCACTTGCTGTCCTTAAGTCACTTACGAAGTCCCAGAGGGACATGGAGCAGCCTTCAGCATCCTCTAGGACCTGAGGCATTGAGCCTCAGAGCCCTGTACCCTGGGGTGTTAATGCCCTTATAAAGAATTTGCAAGTGAAGGTTAAGACTCAAAAATAGACACCAATGTGTTGTTGTGCTTCCAACAAGAAAACTCAGAAACTAAAGGTTGGAAACTGTAAAGTACTGAGCTGTGCTAAAGAGCAAAATAGCAATCAAAGAAGCTCCAGGGATGAAAGAGATTTTTCTCATGATAAAAGAAGAGAGAAATACACACACACACACACACACACACACACACACACACACACACACAAAGCATTCTCTTATTTTTCAACAAAAGTTAAGAGTGGGCTGAGGTGACATAATAGTTCCATGGAGTGGAAAACCAGTAGTAAAGTGACAGTTTTTCCCATGTGACATATTGCTAAATAGCTGGAGAAGCCCTGCCTATGGGGCCAGCTCTCCAAGTTCTGTGTTTGCTCCTAGTGTAACAACTCCTCTCCACCTCAACTGTCCTTCTACCCCGTGCACACACAGGGAGCAGCCGGGCTAGAGCTCTGTGCCCCATGGAGGGTCAGGAGCGGCCTCTATAATGGAGAGGCTTTGAGGTCTGCAGTTTGATATGAGTGAGCTCACTTTTGGCTCTACCCTTTACTCCTGGGGTTAGCTGGGAATGCTGCTTGTAGCAGATGCTATGATGTGAACTCCCCCAGGGGAAAAAAAAACATGTTCTGTTCCCCAGATTCTGGAAATAACCCCTGCACCCTCCATGCTCTTTGGGGTTTCCCTTTTTGAAGAGACCTTCCAGAGTCATCACCCCATTCAGGGAGACCTCCATCCAGTGACCCATCCATGGAGGATGATGAGGCTCAGCCCCATGGTCTGCACTCAGGACCTGGGCAAGGTTGTCAGTGCTTTTTGAAGCGTTGGCTGAGGGTTTTCCCAGGACTTCATCGCAGCCCAGTTTGTCTGTCCAGCTTTCTTCCTTCCCTTCCCATTGCTGTTAAAGACCATACTGTATACTTCTGTCTTTACCTTTGTTGTCCAAGGAATCCAACAGGTGGCATTACTTAAACGCTAAGCTTTAAAGTCAGTTAAGGTCCAGATTGGCCTGAGTGTGGTTTTTTGGACAAGCTTCCAGGTCAATGAGGTTGATCTACAGAACACATTTTGAGTCACAAAATTATAAAGGATTAATTTTTAATATATATCATAGTATCCAGTATACCTTTAGGTGTGCCTATTAACTAATGTTTATACTCTGTTGAATTAATTAATAATTAATATATATATATATATATATATGAGGTAGATCAAATAGATGAACCACTGAACAACCACATTGTGTGGGGCATCTATTTGCAAAATATTCCCTAAGAAAAATGAAATGAAGACTTTTGCCCTAACCTAACTCCTATAGTTGGTGTCTGAGTCAAGTGGTCACTGTGCCTTCATTATCCAAGATACGAATTAATCCCTCCTCTGTCCCTAGCAACCAGTTAGCAATCCCATCCTTCCAACTCCCAAACCTTTCTCAGCGTCACCCCTCTTCATCCTCACCGCTGCCTTATGCACTAAATTACTAAGGAGCTAAACTACTTCCTTACATTAGTCCCTTGCTGACCACAGAAGATGGGTTCCCAGGACACCCCCACATCCCTGGTAACCAAACCCTGCAGCTGCTCAAATCCCGTATATGGAGGGCTGTAATATTTGCATAGGACTGTATATTTCAAATCATCTCTCAGCTATTTATAAAGCCTAATCCAATGTAAATGCTGTAAACTGAAGTTCTACTGCATTGCTTGGGGAATAATGGCACAGAAGAAAGCTTGTATGTGTCCAATATTTGTGGGGTTTCCCTAAATATTTTCTCTCCAAGGCTGCTTGTCAGTGCTGAGGGCCAGATGTGTGGTATCACTAATGGGTCTCCTTGACTCCAGTCATGAATCATCTTTTTGGAAGTTTTCTGCAGCTATTTCTCTCAGCACAGATGCCTCCGTGTCATTGCCCACTTTACACGGTTCTGAGGGGCTTTCCTCACTGGTGCAGACAGATCGCATCTCCCTGCAGAAAGCCTTTTTTACCAGCTGGCTTCTTCTAGAACCCCGGCATCCTCTCAAGTTTCAGTCGCTTGGGACATCTTTTCACACTTCTTGGTGGATGTGTGTGCATGTTCTCGCATCCACTTCCTGCTTACTTGACAAGCAGTGTCTGCGAGACCTCTGCAGCCCTGCTCGCCTCTTTCCCCACATCCATTTGATCTTATCTATCCACAAGTCCTGTGATTGTGTGTTTATTAACATGTTTTTCTCACTACTGCTCCTCACTAAGGAAAAATAAAAACAATCATTATGACGGTTTCTCCCCATGTTCAGCTGCCTCACTCAGATTGGTTTCCAAGCATGAGACACAGGTGCTGATATACAATAAACCTGAAAGGACGGGCAGATGAGAAAACATTGAATCAGATGGATGGGTAGGATAATCCCAGGTTACGCTTTGAAACCTTTCTTACGCATTTAAATTTTAAAGAAGCAATATGCTTTATCACAGTAGCAACCGTAGTTAGCAAGTTAGCTATTAGCCAGTGACCATTTTGAGATTATTGTTGCATTTCCCCTGGTGCATGGGTGTGTATCTTTTCACTGCTGTCTTGGACATAATTCGAATACCATATCCAACTCGGTGATTTGTAGCATCTTCACATAGATGCACAACTATCCCCAAGATGTCATCTTAAAACGTCTTAATCACCTCTAAGAGAAACTCTGAATGCATTAGCAGTGACTCCCATGCCCATCTCACCCAGTAACCTCACTGTGCTCGATGCATTTCCTACCCTGGACATTTCAATGAAATAAAATCATACAGTACGTGATACAAGATGATACTGGTATCTTGAAAGACTCAGCCATTTTGTACTGGTATCAGCACTTCATTGTTTGTGCTGAATAATTTAGCATTACATAGAGAGACAGCACCCACCCCTTCATCCATAGATGCTTGTTTAATTGTGACCGTTGTAGGGCTATTTTGAATCCTGCAGCTGTGACAATTTGTGTAAAGTTTGCTCTGTGCATTCTCAGATTTACAGGTAAGGACTGCTAGGTCAGATGGAAACTCTGTGTTTACCACTTGCAAAAACTGCCAAACCGTTTTCTCGAGTGGAGGTACCATTTTGCAGCCTGACGAGGGATAGATGAGGGCTACAACATTTCTACATGCTTTGCGACCCTGGTTATTGTCATGATTTGAGTTGCTCTGCTTTATTTTTGTTGGTCTTGTTGTTATTGTTTATTTTTATTTTGGGTTTTTTGTTGTTTTTGTCTTTTGAGATAGGGTCGTACTGTACAAGCCAGGCTGGCCTTGAGCTCACTATGTAGCCCATGCTGTCCTTGAACACTCAGTGATCCTCCTGCCTCAGCCTCCTGAGTACTGGGATTACAGGCGTGCACCACCATACCTGGCTGAAGTTGCTTTTTAAATTAATTTTATAGTATTGTAGTTTCTTTCAAATGTCTTCTGAAAGTTTGTCAACTAACCCTGAGTTTATCCGATGTCATCAAGTCTATAGGGAAGTTAAAGATGTTGGTGTACCTCGATATGTCAAAAAACAGGATAGAAACGGTTGACATGGACATTTCTGGATGTGAAGCTCTTGAAGACCTCTTACTGTCATCCAATATGCTCCAGCAGCTGCCCGACTCGATAGGTGAGAATACAGTATCCTGTCATGGCTGTTTACATCAAGTACACCCTTCTCTTGTGAGGCAGAATAGTGTGTTTATAGACACAGGCAATATACCATCTGCCTGATATAAATAAAATCATACATCTATTATGCCATATCATGAAATAATATTTCACAAATATGTTTGAATGAAATGTTAACTCTAGTTGTCAAATTCAAGAAGACTCATATTAAAATGGTTCTCCTAAATTGACATATTTTTTAAATGTTTGTGTCTCTTACCTTGAAAAATGTTGTTTTAATGGTTCTATAACTTAGTGTAACTTGAAATTGTATGTTTGCATAGATTACAATGACTGCTGTCCACAGGATGTTGTTGTATTTAATTCTCAGTGTCTTTGTAGCATTGTTATAATTTAGCAATACATAAAAAAGTAAAAACATAAAACATCTTATTGGTTATATTATTTTCTTAAAAACCTATTAAGATACTTGAAGGTAGAAATTTGTTAATAATAAGCACTCTACATTTTTGGTTAATGAAGTGTATACATGAGTAAAATTATGAAATACAAATTTAAATAGTATATAAACCTTTTGTGTAGATAACTTGTTAATATTATTTATATTACTTCTGAGGGGACCCAATCAGAAGGGTTCCATCACTTTTGAACAGAGCTTTTACCTCCTCAGAATATATGCATCTTATGTACTGGGATTTAAAACTTCTAACAAGTCACAGCCTACGTAACATGAGAGAAGAAAAACTTCAAGATAAAGCAGTTTCCCAATTTTTCTTTTAGCATGTTATTACCACTTCCATTTTTACCATTCTACGAGACTTACAGAGAACACGATTTTAGCGAAATCATAGCCTACCTTCTCTCTAGATTAGCAGACCTTTTGAGTTATATAATGGCATATGGGAAAACTGATTTTTCCAACTTGCTGAATGATAGGACTTGCCTGAGAGAATTATTCAAATTTTTTTTCTTATTTCCAGGGTCTGGTTCTAAAAGTTCGGACCCAGTAAGTCTGCAAGGACTCTTCTTATCTGTGCTTTTATTAAATATCCTAGATGAAGTTTGCATGCAGGCCAGTCTAGAAAATACAGATTTGTGTTGTTACGAGAGCTGTAAAGATCATGTAAAGAGCTGGAAGATCATTCTCTGGTCAAGATGACAGAAGGACTAAGTTCACAACTTTACACCCCACTCAATCCCAAATCAATGCCACTTCCAACAGATAGAAAACTTCAGATGTCCAGAGGACAGAGTGTATCTACCAATGTCACCTCCGTGCTTAAAGCTACAGTGTCTAGGTACAGTGGGAGGAAAGAGAAAGGGATGAATGGAAACATTCATAGAAAAGGAGAAAAAATAAATAAAACTTTAAAAAATTATAGAAATGAAAAACTTAAGACTAAATCAAATGATTGGCCATTGATCCCAACAAGTATTGCACTGAAAGAATCAGTATTTCAGACGGGATATTTTTTAGGTCAGCTATATTCTGGTTATGAGGCACACGTGCAGCAAAGCAGCAGGAAGTCCAATTTTTTAAAGGTTGGCAGATAGTGAAGTGTTATTACCGCGCCATAAATATTTGTTGAAAACCTCTTCCTGAGCAGACTAAGAATCATGACTGAAATTCTTGGCTGCCCCAAAACAGATGCAAATAGGCAAGTGGTACCATGTGCTTAACACGTTGGTTACAGGACGGTTCATCCAAGAAGAAAGCCAGTCTACCACAGAAGCTGACTTCCTGGGCTTGCCTTAGACCTTGGGGTTGCAGGGGAAGTTGTAAGTGGATGGACGCCTGCAGCTCTGGCACACTGCACAGTTAGAACTGCGGAGCAGCTGGCTGTCCTCAGAGAATCCTCTCCGTGGTTGAGAGGGATGGGCATGGAGAACTGAGTTCTGTGACCCCGGCGTGATTCGATGCTCCCCAGTGGCCAGGTGCATCTTGCCTTGCTTATTTGAGCCCTGTTCATCTATAGACTACCAACATTTAAAAACACAAAAGATAGGAACAGTGTTAATAAACACTGTTGGACAGCATTAATAAAAGGAAATAACAACCAAAATAAGATTTTGATTTCCATCACACCTGTTCAAGTCCTCTACAGCCAGGGGGTATTTGAATGGGGCAGCAGATTCACAATAAACCCTGCATGGACAGAACCTTCCCTTTGACTGGATCCAAGGACAGTGAAAAGTGGTCTTTTCTTTTTCTAGGGAGTTTAATAATGTGCTTCTTCGGATAACAGAGAAACCCAGTACAAGGCAACATGGCTTTTTACCTCTCAAAATAATTCATCTTACTTGTTTAGTGACTAAGAGTATACAGAAAACCTGAGTTCAGACTCGCTTTTCTATCTTACCAGCTGTATGACCTTAATGACTTAAATTCTTTCTATCTTAGTCTCATCTTCTATTAAGTGTGGATAGTAATAATATCTGCCTCATAGTATTAGTTTCAGGAATAAATTCATTCTTATGTGTAAGGTTGCTTAGAGCAGTCCCTGCCTTTATATTGTTAGCTGTTATAGTAACATAATAATTATTATAATCCTAGATTATACCTCTGTTTGCTTCAAAGCTTATTAACATGCATAAATGCCACTTAAATATTAGCTATTTTAATAACAATATATTAATGTTTAATGCATCAGTGGTAATCATGTCTTTCTATAATAGTAGTTAGAGCATAGTAGTAGACCTCCTTTTTTTTTCTTTAGTACTTCCTATTTGGGGACTTAGGATAAAGAGGTAGAGAATTAGAGAAGTGGAGAGAATAAATAGGGTGAAATTTCTTTGATTCTTGTAGAGGAAAAGAGGATCCAAGCAGATACGATACCGCAGTGCACTCAAAGAACGATCCGTTACCGAAGAAGCCATGAGCCATATATGTGACACTGGTGTCTAATCCTACAGTTGGATTCCAGCTGAAACTTTTCCATCCCTTTGAGTGACCTACCAGTGCAAATCCATCACCTCATAACTAAGCAAGTTTCCTGTAGTTCCACAGGCACAAGTTAGGCCAACTCACTTCACCTTTCATACCTTCTGGGAGGAGTCACCGCCCCAATCTTCAGAAACATCTGTCGCCTTGGTCCCCAGCCTGCCTGGAGATTTTATCAGGTAGCAGGGACTGCAAGACCTTCTTACAGACACTTGGTGACCTGGTTTCATGGGGTTTTCGCAGTCGAGTTATGCAAAAATTGTCACCCTGTTCCAGAAGCAGAGATGGCCAACCTCTTCGAGATCCACCGGTGTACAGGAGCAGTGGTCTCTCTGGTCAGAGATACCAGGTTGCTGTCACTCAGAGTCCCTATTTTCCATCTACAACTGATAAATAAGCTCAGGTGTTCTTTTCTGTTTCCAAAGTTGGTATTCAGACATACACACTAGAGCCAAAATGATTCAAACATCTCTTGAACATAGATGAATACAGCCGTGGGAATTCAAACCTCAGCGCTAAACTGGTGTTGTGCAAATCGCCCTCTTTCCCAGGTGCTGTGCTTTTCAGCTGATGTATTAAGCTCTGGATGTTGTAGATTTTTTTCCCACAGCGGTTCAAATGTGATAACGTTTCTCTCCACTGGAGCAGAGATTCGGAAACAAGTTTACTGAAATGTGAAGCACCGTGACAGCTTAACTTCAGGGATTTTTGTGGCTCAATCTTGCCTTGTCTTCAAAATGCTTGAGACGGGGCAGGCATGACCTCCAAACATGTTCCCCTTAGTACCAGCTTTTAATGACACTCTGCAAGTACACGTGTACACATACACTTTTAATAATAACTTTGGAGAGTCACAGTGTTCCATGAGTATATTAAAATGTTCTCAAGAAACTTCATGACAGAAAGCTGTACAATTTTGTTTCATTTGACATTTCTCAAAGCATATTTGACCATGAAACTAAATATACTTTTTTAAAATATATGTTTTTGCAGGACACAATAATATATAAATGTACCATAGTATCACATATAAATGTAGTATATTACAAATATAGTAAATATAAATGCAGTTCCAATATAAAGCAAACTAACCTAATGTTAATGCTCTACCCTTGGATTTTGGTTGCTTAGATGTATTGATCTGATAGGTTGTGTTTGGCAGGATGAGGAGCTGATCATGCCAAATGCAACTGCTGTTCAATTACTGTGTGGCTGTTACTCATTTAGACCTTGGAAAAGGAGCAAGCCATAAAGGTATTGCAGGCATAAATCAGATAGTAAAAGATAAATAGTTGTATCTTCGATGCTTGGCAGGGTCTACTTGCTATATTAAAAACTGCAAGTTCCCATGTGTTATGCTGATCCAAGTTAAAGATTTATGCCACCAAAAAGAATATGAGGTCATGTGTTGTAATTTTCCAAGTCCATAATTACAAGCACCACATTGCAATACCTTAGTATTCATTCCTTGGTTGTTAGGCTTAATTCAGCTTTGTTTCCAATCTGCATCACAACAGGAATGTTAGCTGTTAGTGCTTAGGAGTCAATTAAATATTAAATCACAGCTGGTTTGAAAATTTCACCTGGTCCCTTTTCTGAAAAATGCAAAAGGAAATGAAGTAGCATTTGTGATAACACATGTGCACATGGAATGCTTAGTTTTGGTGACATCTACATTGATGTTCATGAATTTCCACCGATGTGAGTGCATTTTTTACCAAAAAAAAAAAAAAAACCAAAACCAGATTCCACACAAATGTTGTATTAGTACATGGGTTTATATAACCAGAAGGCAACCAATTAGCATGACAAGCATTCATCACAAGGGATTCCTCTGATTTCTCGTATGTGACAGTCCCTGTGCTAAACCTGCTCTTGTGTATTAATAAGCTTTCTTCTCTATTTTAGGACTGTTGAAAAAGCTGACTACTCTAAAAGTAGATGACAATCAACTTACAATGCTGCCCAATACAATCGGAAAGTAAGTGCCAGTGTGTCCTTTCTGTCAACTACGCAAACCCAAAAAGAAAGGATATATTGTTTTCTACTTCAAAACACTTTCTACTTTTTGTTCACAGGACAGCTTATTTTAGACTGCATTTTACTCAGTTATATGCAGTTGTATTAATATATCTTATGTAATTTCATATCTGAATATTGCATTGGCATCCAATAATAGAAAATTATGAGAAATCGCCAACTGTAAATCTTTCACAAGTAAGGCAACTATGCAAAATTTCAATTATACTCTTGGTGATATTTTCTATCTAGTATTGATATTTTGACTGAGTGGCAGTTCTAAATTTATCCAAGTATTTCTTGAAAAATCAAATTGATTTTTCTAAGGCTTTGCCATCTTTGCCATCATACTATTATATATATATATATATATATATATATATATATATAGTGTATTTTTAGAATCTAAAAAAAGAAAAGTATTTGGTTAGCCAGCATTTTCAAGACAAAAGTCTGATATCTCTTACGGGTTGACCTGCTCCCTTTATCTACAGCAGTTTATTTTTAGCTCAGAATTGCTCTTAGCATTTGGTTATAGTTCTTCTATATGTTTTCCTCAATATTTCACTGAAGTGCCTCTATGTTGACAATCCATGTGAAGTGACCAATCAATGCAACCTGGCTTCATCCCGAAATTCTGTGTCCATTTTATCAGGACCTTGGCCCTCCTCTCGGTATGAAGAATTATAAATATTTATCCGATTGGGAAGAGAAAGAGTCATTTCTTTCTATAAAACAGCTTTATTAAGTATAACTAACAGAAAAAGACTGCACCTAGTTAAAGTCTTGAATCTAACAGGTCTTGGCATAGGATAAAAGTCAGAGTGGTCACCACTGAAATCAAGGCTAAAATCACCAGTGAAATCGATGGCTCCCTAACCTTCCCTCTACCATAACCCTTGTGGTGTCATCAAATGGCTTTTTATTGGGACAGCTTCACTTTTTAAGAGTAGGATAGCTTTGCAAAATTCAACTCAAATATTCAAACTCTCAAGAGTAATGCAAGTCTCAACCGTTTTCACTATCACAATACCCACACCATTACTTTCTGGCTACAGTTTCTTCTGTATTTTTTCAGTGTGGAGTACAGAGAACATTACTTTCTTTTGGGATACACAAGAGTAACTGTTCTTACCCATCTGATGCTTTTGTAAAAAGAATCTTCTAACCTGTATTCATAAACACTCATCTTTCTTCATTGAGTCAGTTCTCATGGGCAACAGAACTCAACTCCCTTTACATCCACTTAGGTAATGATTGGGGTGTTGAAACTATGTTCACATCTCTCCTACAAACTAAAGACCTTCGTTCCTTGAAGGTGAAATAAAGAGGCTGGATAACCTAAAAGTAGGCTAAGTTGCTTTTTCAGGAGGCAGTGGAACCTTGACTTTGGCCAGCCTGAGAATGAGCATTTGTCAGTGGACTGGTGATTTCCGGCCAAGCTGTTGGTCTCTTAATGAACTTTTCATTTTCGGCTTTTTCTGGAGTCTAGTTTCAGCGCATGACTGACACTGGGGATATGTGTCTCCTGAGCTCCTGTCACACACACGTCAGTGTGATTTCCTGCCTCTGCCCTTCACCGGCTGCATCTCCTGCCAGAATTCATTTTAGGAGTAGGAAGATGACGGTGCTAGCTCCGTCTGCTTCCCCACAGCCAGGCAGAGTGTCGCAGCCTGGCTCTGCACACACATTCTAAACTTGAGTCAGTCTCGGCTCTTATTTTACCACCCTGATCTACTTTGTCCCTTGCAGTCTTTCTGGTAATTGAATTGCAAAGGTGGAAAAAGACGAACTTACCTGGTAGTGACTTGATCTCAGCTTTTACACCCCTGTGTTCAAGAAGAGGAAATATAGAACCATCAGTTTGGCTCTCTGCAGCTTTCAGTTATTCAGAACAAGACTGATGCCAGGAAAGCAGGGTAAATACCTGAGAATTAGAGCTTCCATAAACACTGAGAAGGCTGAATAGAGAGCTTTCCTTTTGCAAACAACTCATCCTTATTAAATTCTCAGATATCAAAAAGTCAGAAGAAATGCATGAGATGAAAGAAGCAGCATTTAAAAAGCTGGACAGGGGAGCTGGGGATTTAGCTCAGCGGCATAAGCACCTGCCTTGCAAGCAGGCGGTCGTGAGTTTGATCCTTGGTACCGATAAAAATGAAAAAGAAAAAAAAAAAACAACAAAAAAAAGCTGGACAGGGCAGGTGCTTCGCTGCAAGCCCTACAGAACTTGCGGAGACTCCTGGAGGAATGGGAATAGTCAGTGCTTTGCTGGACCAACCTCACTGCTGCTCAGTGTCATGATGGAACTGTCCAGAAAGCTGCTGACGCCTGAGAACCATAGAGACAAAAGGATACACTAAAGGCAATAGGTACAAAAAGTTCAGATGTCTTCTGGTTCCTCAGACTGCCAGTTTCAGGGATCGCCTCTAATGGAATTGACCAGACAATGTAATTCTGTTATGAAACTCACAAGCACAGGTCCTACCCCCTGAAGACAGAAGCAGTGATTACACTGATTGCTCTTAAGCTCACAGCTCTGCTCCTTCACTAGGCTTTGGTCACACTGGCTCTTTTTCGGCATCTCCAATGAACTATACCTTCTCCCACTGCAGGGTTTTCTCGCTTCTTGTTACCTCCACCTGAAATATTCTTTCTCAACTTTTTATAAAGCTGAGCCCTTCACATCTTTTAGGTCCATACTCTTAAGCTTCATTGTGCACTTTAATTATCAGGGGATCATTTTCAAAAGGCAGATTCTGACCCTGTAGGTTTGAGACCTTAGGAGTTCCAAGCTCTGAAAGTCAGTGTTTCAGGTACATGAACACCACTTTGAGTAGCAGGGCCCTAGTTCTGGCTTTGAATATCACTGCCACGGTGTGGCTTTCCCTTGATGCCCCTTGAACGATTGTCCACTCCCAGATTCTTTCTGTGTCTGTGTCTGTTTTGCTTCCCACATGGCACTTTTCAGAATCTACAGCTGCTGATTTTACAGTTCTTTGTATGGTTTTATTCTGTCTGGTAAATGTAGACATCACACCTCATTAAGATAGTTTTCCTATCCCAGCTCCAACATTGTGTTCTAAATATGATGAAGGCCAAACCCTAGTTTACTTTTGATTTCAATTCCTAGATTGTTGTGCGCTAACCGGAAGTCTTTGAGAAGAAGAGAATGTCAAACACTAATGATGTTCATGGTGATGCGTCTTCTTATTTAGAACTCTTTGGTTTCTATATTTCACTAACTGATTTTGTTCAGAATGAAAACACAAAATAAAAATGGGGTAATTATGTGAATATAGATGCTAGGTTATTCATATACTTGATTTTCTTTTCATGAAGATTTATGATGCTCTTAAAAGTATGAAGAAGATTTATCAAAGATAAATGGGACTACTTAATTCAAAGGTTGATTACTGATTTAGCAAGATAAAAGTTAATAATAATAAAAGTTCATTTTTTAGAAATTTTTAATGTCATGATCATCTTTGGATTGTTGTTTCAAGAAAAATGTAAGAAGCATGTCAAAAGAATGGACTAATAAACAGAATTTTTTTTAAAAAGTGCTGGATATATCAAAAAATGTTAATCCTTTCATTAAATGTTCATCCTTAGGAAAAAAGGATTACTTTTCATAAAAAAAAATATGTTACTTATGCTAACATGCCATGGGCTTATAAGAATAATTAAGTGTTTTTAAAATTCCTGTTTTAATTTATAATATAGTAGGTACCAGTAGATATAATCCATATAAAACAGAGTACTTGGGGGCCACTAGGGATTTTTAAGAGTATGAAGGGATCCCCAGACTAACAAGATTGAGAATTATTTCTGTACCTGTCATAGTTTGGAAATCATCACAGTTAGTTAAATTATAGTGACTATTATCTAGTTTACAGTCTCATTCTGAGATACTTATCTACATACAGTATTCTGAATTTACCCAAAGACATTGCTAAAAGTTTATTGTGCATTTTAAAAACAATTTATGCATGAAAAAAACAAGCAATAATAAAATGATTAATTTTAACCTGAGAGAGTTCAGAGTTTCTAGATTAGAGTGACAATGAAATTTGATTATGATCTTGTTAATGGCACCCAAATCATATGCAGAAAGTGTTTTGTTATTGGTCAAATAATCTATAGTTTATTATGAAAAATTCTACCTACAAATCTCAACACTGAAATCCTAGAAATGTTAACACCAGCCCGAATGACCAGGAATCTTACTTTGCATATGAAATATTTAAACATTTTAGACCTCTTTTGGTATTTTGTAGCAATACAATTAGTAAAAGCTACTAAAAGCATTTTATTTTCCAGTATTTTTCATGGTTTAAATAGATTCTGTGATTGGTGTACCAAGTGACTTGAAATATTATTTTTGCTTTTGACCCTTCAAATATGCCTTGGGGCCTCAATGGCATTAACAAGTGAAACTCAAATGAAAAGAATAAACAATTTTTTTGGACCTACAGTGTTTATAAACCATGTAAGTGATTTGTAGACAGTGTCTTTAATTAATTAACACTCTCTGGTGTGTGTTCTCCTCCTATCAGCAGACACAGTCACTGAGGCTGAAGGAAGCGCCCCTATTTCAATGCCAAGCTGTTAATTCAGCTGTATCACACACATAAATATGTGTGACAGCTGAGTCGCACATTCTGTGATTGACCCTTCATACCTGGTAATTTAATGGACCCCATCGCTCTAGCCAGAAAGGATTTTTCACAAGAGAAAACTCATGCTGAACTTGCTCTTTCTTGGCTTTATGGTCTTCGGTAAAAGCAATAAAAACCGAGAATTTGAAGAGCTGTTTTGAAAAGTCATCCTTTCATGAAGTTGGCCAAAGAGAGAGACAGCTGGAAATGGGAATCAGAAAATGTAAGGGCCTGTGCAAACCAGGCTCGGTTCCCTGTGGGCTTCCTCTTCGTGGGGTCTGAACGGTGAAGTGACTTAGAT